AAGGGGCCACTAAAATCATCTATATTATAAACCTAAAAGTTCCCTTAGAGTTGGCCAGGTCATTAAAAAACAAAATCCCAGCACAGAGAAGGGACAGAGACACAAAGTCCCACCCCTAACCAAGAAGTCTGCTGGGAAGGGGAAAAGCAGTTTTCTTCAAAGCTTTGTCATTGGGTAAATCAGTCACACTCTATGGCAGGCCCCAACCCAGGGTAGTTGGTCAACACAGAACGGACTCCACAGGACTTTGTTTGTTTGTTTGTTTGTTTGGGTGTGTGTATACGTGTGCATGGATTTTTTTTTTTTGAGAGAGAGAGCATAAAGTTAGTTGGGTAGAGAGGCGGAGTGAATCCAGGAGGAATTGGAGGAGGGAAAAGAAATGATAAAATTATATTGTATAAAAATAAAAGATAAAAGAGAAACAGAATAGAAGACTAAATCGCGAAGAGCCAAAGTCGCAAGGGACAAAATAGTTTTTGCTCACACAGGTGTATTGTGTGCTGTGTGTGCCCACCTCATGCCCTGTTCCCCCTCCTGCCCCAAGTAAATAGGAAATACTAAACAATATCTCTTTAACAATTATGTATAGGAAAATAAAAGCACCAGCTTCGAGTCTTTCACCTCCTCGCCAGTGCTCACTGAGGTTTTGCTTTTGGGACTAGCGGTGGGTTCCCTAGTAAGCGCCATCTTGTCCCTCTCTTCCGCTGCCAAGAGCCCTTGCTGTAATGAAGCAGCCAGGAGGGCAAAGACTGCCCGAAGAAAGCAGAGCACAACCTTGGGCTGCTGGCTTTCTTCTTTAAGCAGCCAGAGGCCTGGGGTGCCTCCTTGAACCCCACTAAGCCTCAGACACCCTGCTAGTGTCCAGCGTACTTCCATGGCGCCCTTCAGAGCCCACTGAACGCATGTCTCTTCTAGGGAAGTTTAAAGCCATTCTCCCTGCCAGGCCAAGGTGCTGCAGGCCAGATGAGGGAAGACCGGGCTTGTCCACGTCAGCCTGGAATGGAAGGCTCTGAGTCTTCATCTGCATTACGGGGTCATCTAAGGTTCCAGGCCAGACTTCCAAAGCTTTGTCTCCAGTGTAAGGAACACAGTCAGAGCTGTGATGTCTGTCCCTATGGTGAGTGTGACAGTCTGGTGAGCCGGCTGTTCTCAAACTACTGAGTGAGGGCAGCCCGATACAGCATTTCATCAGGAGATCTTGGAGTTCCCTGGGCCAGGGCCACCCTGGGGGAATTACCTGTTTCTGACCATGCCTAGGCAGGGTCCCCTCTCGTTTATTTTTTCTGTGTCTGTTTTCCAAGATCAGGCTCCCCATCACCTCGGCCTCCGGTTAGGACCCCCTGAGCTGTCTCACAGTGGATGGCATCATGGAAGGCATACATGAAGGAAGGAGAGATCACATGGCAAGATGGGATGACAGATAGTAGGGAGGGGAGGTCTTCTTTAAAAAAAAAAATATTTTAGTGTATGAGTGTTTTGCCTGAATGTGTGACTATGCATTACATATGTGCCTGGTGCCTACAAAGACCAAAAGAGCACGTCAAACCCCCAAACTAGAATTGAATTTACAGACCATTGTGAGTCACTGTGTGGACAATGGGAACCAAGCCCAGGTTCTCCGTTAGAGCAGCTGCCCTTACTCTTTATAACGACCCTATAGTCACCAGAGAACTGCACTAATCCCTCCCAAGAACACTACCCCAGCAGCCTAACTACCTCTCAGTAGGTCACACCTATTAAAGGTTCTACCAGCTACCTCCACACTGAGGATGAAGCTGCTTCCAGCCTCAGAGGGAAACCATGTCCAAATCAATGTGCTTCCTGATTTCCTGTGATATGTGTTCTGGGGCTGAGCACAAGCAGAGGGTACCTCACAAGCCCATCAGCATCGTCCTCATGGCTGAGACCAGACTCCTTACAAGACACAGCCCAAGGAAGGAAGGCTTCATTTTGGCACAGTTTAGAATATGCGTGTGTCTGTCTAAGTGGGATGTTCACAAAATACAGGCACCTGTGGATTTCAGCGCCTCAGAGCCTCCTGGAACTGCAGTTACAGACTTACAGACGTGTGAGCCACCTGGCATGGGTGCGGGGACTGAACTCAGGTGCTTGGCAAGAGAAATAAGTGTTCTTCACTGCTGAGCTATTGGTTTTTTTTTTGTTTGTTTGTTTTTTTAAGATTATTTATTTATTTATGCAGTATCCTGCCTGTAGGCCAGAAGAGGGCACCAGATCTCATTATAGGTGGTTTTGAGCCACCATGTGGTTGCAGGGAATTGAACTCAGGACCTCTGGAAGAGCAGTCAGTGCTCTTAACCGGAACTATCGTTTTGTAAAGGCTGTTTATACAATGGAAAGTTTTTCTTTTTCCGTCAACTATGGCATATATATATATATATATATATATATATATATATATATATACACACACACACAAAATCAGTTTTGCTGAGTATATATATGGCAGATAGTTTTGCTGGGTATATTAGTCTAGGTTGGCCTTTGTGGTCTTTTAAGACTTGGAGTGTATTGTTCCAGGCACTTCTGATTTTCCAAGTTTCCTATGAGAAATCAACTGTTGCGCTGATGGGTTTTCCTTTATGCACAATTTGCAGGTGGTTCATTGTTTTTCCTTTCACAGCTCTCAGTATACTTTCATTGTCTACTTAGTGTTTTCACTCTGACATACTGTAGAGGTTTTCTTTTCTGGTCTTGTCTATTTTGTGTTCTGCATGCTTCTTGTATTTGTCGGGATACGTCTTTCCTAGTTTGGGGTAGTTCTGTTATCTTGTTGAGGATCTGGTCTCTGCCATTGACTTGAGATTCTACCCGCTCATCCATGTTTATCATGGTGTTCCACATTTCTTTTTCTTTTTTTAAAAATTTATTTATTTATTATGTATACAATGTTCTGTCTGCATGTATGCCTGCCCACCAGAAGAGGGCACCAGATCTCATAGATGGTTGTGAGCTACCATGTGGTTGCTGGGAATTGAACTCAGGACCTCTGGAAGAGCAGCCAGTGCTCTTAACCTCCGAGCCATCTCTCCAGCCCTTCCACATTTCCTGTATGTCCTTTTCCTGTAGTTGTTTAAAAAAACTTTTCATTTCTTATTTATTTATTCCTTGCTTATTAATCTAAACTCTTTTTCTTAATCTCATTAGCTGTTTCATTGTTTCTTTTTTAAACTGCTTGTATTCTTTAATGAGGTTTATGGTTGTTCTTTTAAAGTAAGTGTTCTGGAGTCCTTCTGGGTAATTCTCCTTGGCATCAGTGAGATCTGTGCATGAGTGCTGTCTGGCACAGACAGAGCGGATTAGGGTGGGAGAGAGGATGCACGGGTGAGTTGGCCAACAGGTTGAAACTGTCTTAGGTGGAATAAATCGGGGACAGAGGGACAGGACTGGTGTGCCGGATGTGTGCAGACCTGGCTGGTTGGCTGTGCTGGGGGTGGTGCTATTGGTCTAGGCGGGCAGGACAGGCTGGGGAAGGCGTGTGAAAGGGATGATCAGGCAGACTCCCAGCTGCCTGTAGCTCTAGTTCCAGAAACCTGATGCCCTCTTCCCGTCTTCCTCAGGCACTTCACAAACTTCGTGCACACACATATATACATGAAACAATAAATCTTTAACTTAAGAGAAAATAAGATGGCGGTCTGGAGAGATGGCTCAGAGGTTAAAAACACTGGCTGCTCCTCCAGAGGTCCTGAGTTCAGTTCTTAGAAACCACATGGTGGTTCCCAGCCATCTAATAATGAGATCTGGTGCCCTCTTCTGCCATCCATACACACATGCATGCAGAACACTGTATAAATAATAATAAAGATTCATGTTTAAAACAAGAAAATGGGATGGGAAAGTGATTGAGGAAGACACTTGGCATTGCCCTGACCTCCATGTGCTCGCTCTCTCTCTCTCTCTCTCTCTCTCTCTCTCTCTCTCTCTCTCCCTCTCTCTCTCTCTCTCTCTCACACACACACACACACACCGATAAAATAAAGTCATAGTAATTAGTACTTAATAGTTAAATTAGTGCTGACATATGAAAATCAGGAGACATCTCTTACAGAAGATGTCTGTAATCCCATCATCCTGAGTCCCAACATCATCCTGCCTGTGTCCCCACGGGCAGGCAGCAGACACCAAGTGTCAACACCCTGCCCCTCTACAAGGTGTTTTGGTTTGGTGACCAAAGGTGACTTGGGAAGCAAAGGGTTTATTTCCCTTACCCGTCCCAATTGCAGCTCATCACCAAGGGAACCCAAGGCAGGACCTCAGGCAGGGCAGGAACCTGGAGGCAGGAACTGAAGCAGACACCATGGAGGAACACAGCATACTGGCTGGCTTCCCGTGGCTTCCTTGGCCTGTTTTAATCTACAACACAGGACTGCCTGTCCCCTGTGGTGGCACCACCCACCATGGGCTGTGCCTTGCAGCTTGCCTATAGATCCATCTGGAGGGGCATTTCTCAGTTGAAGATCCTCTTCCCTCACTGGTGTCGGCTTGACAAAATGACCAACCACACGGAAGCGTGCTCCATGGGTGACCGATGTCCCCTCTGAGGATGTTCCCTCACTTTTAAGCATAGGGTCCATGACTCTCCGCCTTGACACACTGTGCCTTAATGGCTGACTTGACTTTCCCCAGGCAGCCCATACTCCTTCTCCCACAGCTTCATCCCATAGGCATGGAGATGCCTATGAAGCCCCTCAAACAGCTGTTCCTCTTCCAAAAGTAGCACAGTGATGTGAATTCAACTCCCCTGGGCACAGCAGCCCTGGGCATGGCGAGGTGGCCTAACTTACGAGCATGGATTCCTCAGTGGGGTACCTGGGTACAGTTCCCAGCACCCATATGGCAGCTTCGAGTCATTCATAACTTCAGGCAATTTGACACTCTCTCCCGACCTCCACAGGCACCAGTACACTTACATACAGGCAGACAAACAATCAGGCACAAAACTAGAACCAATCTTGTTTTTCAAAAAAGACAACACAAAGTCAGGTTTAAAAAGCCTTAATTTAAAAACTGTTAATACAGCAGAAGGCACTGTCCTGACAACAATAGTGTGTGGAAGATGTCGGCGGAGAGTCTCTGAAGGCGGAGAATGGTCCCTGGCCCCGCCTGGCCCTTCTCTATGTGTGTGCAGTCGGATGATACAGAACACCAAGCAGATGACATTTTGAGGCTCAGTTCATTCTTACTTGACTCCTCCCTTCTGCCTCTCCAAAGCAGGGGCCAGAGGAGGGGAAGGGAGATAAGGCCTCTGCAGTTGGGCAGCATGCGTGAGGCCCAGTCTCCAAGGGCAGATAGCTCCAAGGCCTGGGGACCTGTCTGCCTTAAAAGGCCCAGGAATTCCTGTGGAGAAAGGAGCTGGTGACAGGAGGTCTGTGTGCCAGGAATATCAAGGTCACTGTGTCACAAGCTAGTCACAAGTACTCTGGGCCTTCTCCAAACCTTCCCTCCAGTCTGGGCAGCAGGAATCACGCAGCAGCCAGGGCTGAGTTCCAGGGGCTCAGGAACTCTCAAGACTGCAGGAAAAGTGTCCAGGAGCATCTTGGGGTGGGGATGAGCCGAGCATTCATTAGAATTCAAAGGACTCTGGGACCCAAATAATTATTCAAGGACAGTAGCAATTCGAAAAGCTAATCCACATCAGGATTCTGATGCAGATGCCCCCCCCCTCCGCCACATGGCAATCACTGCTTTATGGGAAATGAGAGTTGTAATCATCAAATCAGACGGCGCTAAATGTGTCTACTGGAGGACAGTCCATGCTGCGTCGGGGTGCTTTTCATTAGAGTGTGTGTTTAAACCTTTATTATTGTTTTATATGTATATGATTGTGTGTGTGTGTGCGCGTGCGCGCGTATGCACTGTGCACCGTGTGGAGGTCAGAGGACAACTTTCTTTCCATGCACCGTGGGTTCTGGGGTTCAAACTCCAGTCACCTCTGTGGGTGAGCTTTCAAGGTGTCATGGTACAGAAGCTCTTTGAATCCCAGATAGCAGCTGGAGAAGGCTGGCACTAGAGCACTGGCTCCCATGCTGGCAGGGCAGGTGGCCTGAGATGTCTTCGCCTGTCTGCTGTGAACAGCAACCCTGGCGCCACCCCTCACCTCTCCACTCTCCTAGCTCCTTCTGGTTGGAAGGGGAGGGGCAGATACCGCATTAGCTGGCTAGACTGCTTTATCAAAGTCTACTGAGCAACAGACGGGCATTGTCCTATGTTCTCCAGGCCGGAGTCTGAAACGAAGGCTCAGGAGGGCCTCGTGTCCTTGAAAAGTCACAAGGAAAATTGTTCCTTGTTTCTGTCCAGAGTCCAGTGGCCATCCATTTTTAGCTCTTTTTGGCTTTTATCTTTGTCTCTGGCATCTCATAGTGTTCTCCTTGTGTGTCAAGTGTCCCTCTTCTCATAAGGGTATGAGCCCTACTAGAGTAGGACCCGCTTCAGTTGCTCATTGAAACCTGATGGTTGGACAAGACCGTTTCCAAACAAGGTAGCATTTGCTAGTGCTGGGGGACTGAAACGTCAATGTGCCTTTTAGGAACAAAATTCATCCAACAAGTCAAACCTGTCACTTCAAGGACCCTGCCACATCAGTCCCATGTGCTGCCAGTGCCCACAAACACAGCCTCCCCTGCACCCTTTGGGATGGCTGGGGTGGCCACTTTCCCTCCAGTAATAACTGCACACCTTGCTCAGGGTAACTATTCTGATGGGGTCATTTTCCTACTCTGTCTCAACCCTCTAAGAAACAATTTCTATCCAGATTGAACTGTGAGGGGTGTGTGTATGTATATGTATGTGTGTGTTTGCATGCGTGCACGCACGTGTGTGCGTGTGTGTGAGAGAGAGAGAGAGAGAGAACTGTGAGGGATGCATGTGTTTGTGTGAATCACGAGGGGTGTGTGAGTGTATGTGTGTCCGTGTCCGTGTGCGTACGTGTGTATAAGGAATGCAAGGGGGTGTGTGATAAGGGAGGAGGGGGAGACAGAAGGAGGGTAGAGTCACGGTTGTGAACAAAGAGACATGGACAGAGGTGACACTGTGTTTGGGTACCAATTCTGTGACGTTAGCAGAGACCAATAAGCAGTGGCTGCAGCAGCTGTGGGCAGACTCTTTCTAAGAGCCAGACAGGTGGGCAGTGCACGAAGGTGAGGGATCTGCGCTGTCTGCACCACTCAGAGTGGACTGCTGTTTCTATCAGAGCCGCCTCAAGGGTGTCAATGTCCCGTGGGGGACAAGGAAGATGGAGGACACGCCCTTCCCTTTTCAAAGGCTACTTATGGACTGGACTCATCATGTCCAAGTCTCTGACCAGAACTCAGTCATGTGACCCTGCTAATGTCAGGAGATTAGCACTGGGGAAACTCAGCTTGCATTCTCAGAGGTCACATTGTTGGGTCTCTGCTAGATTTAAAAAGACAAGGATAGGTGCTGCAAAATTAATTGATCATCTACTAGAGAAGGAACGTGATTTTAGGAAACTAGTGTTATTAATTCATTCCTTAACCCTCAATATCAAAAACTCCATTGGAATCCCTACAATAAAGACTATGACAGGCACATGACTAGAAAGATGAAATTGTCACATGTAGGGCTTGTCTACGCATAACGAGCTATGGGGTTCACGACAAAGGCTTCAGTTCAGGAAGGTGTGTGGCAGGCTGTTCTACAGCCACCTGGTTTTCAATGACATAGCAGGCTCTGAAGCTCTCTAGTACACGGGCCTGGAAGAAGGCCTTGTCTTTCTCCTGCCAGGCGTCCGACTCGATGTACACGTTGAATGGGTCGTGCGAGTGCTCCAGCTTCTTGGAGCGGATGTAACTCAGCATGATGCCCAGGGTAAAGAAGCCAAAGAAACCCAGCACCATGAGGATGTAGAGAGCTTCCAGTTTGCTGTCGTCTCGGAGCTGAGACCTGCCAGCCAGGCCCGACACATTGCCTCCCTGTCCGGCGGTCTCCTGCCACGACGTGGTCAGGAAGGGTACCACAGTCGTGGTGTTAGACAGGAACATCTTGGGCTTCAAGTTCTTCTCAGATGCAGAGCAAAATTCCTGAAAGGAAAATGCAACTTGAAATCAAATAATATGAACCAGCCACCTCCTAGCCATGCTAACAGTCTCCGGTGACAGGGGGAGTGGACGGCCATCCTTCCGTGGTGTGTACCATCAGGATGTAGACGGCCATCCTTCCGTGGTGTGTACCATCAGGGTGTGGATGGCCATCCTTCCGTGGTGTGTACCATCAGGATGTGGACGGCCATCCTTCCGTGGTGTATACCATCAGGATGTGGACGGCCATCCTTCTGTGGTGTATACCATCAGAATGTGGACAGCCATCCTTCTGTGGTGTGTACCATCAGGATGTGGACAGCCATCCTTCCGTGGTATGTACCATCAGGATGTGGACGGCCATCCTTCTGTGGTGTATACCATCAGGATGTGGACAGCCATCCTTCCGTGGTATGTACCATCAGGATGTGGACAGCCATCCTTCCGTGGTGTATACACCATTTTAGGGAGTGGACAGCCATCTTTCTGTGGTGTATACCATCGGGAAGTGGGCAGACACCCTTCCTTGGTGTATACCATCAGGGAGTGGATAGACATCCTTCCGTGGTGTATACCATTGGGGAGTGCACAACCATCCTTCCATGGTGCATTCCACCAGGGAGTGGACAGCCATCCTTCTGTGGCATATACCATTAGGGAGTGGACACACACCCTTCCGTGGTGTATACCATCAGGGAGCAGACAGCCATCCTTCCATGGTGTATCCCATTGGGGAGTGGGCAGATATCCTATTGTATATACCATGAGAGTCTCACTGGCCTCTCTTGGTCAACTGACGTTTGATTCATTGTAGTTCTGCTCATCATCCCCTCAGCTCTCTGGTAGGCAGCCATTGGAATGAGTTTCACCAACACACGTTACTGTGTCATAAGTGATATGAGGTCATGTATGTCACTGGGTCTTTCCCTTTTCCCTGACTGCTGTCTTTATGGCCCACTCATATGCTGCATGCATGTGCATTTCCTCACATTCCACCTATGTCCATATCAGACACTCATTTCTCTGCCCACTCTCCTCAGAGATGGACACTCTGGTGTCCACTCCGTAAACAAAGCAGAAGCCTGGCAAAGTAGCTCACTGGGTGAAAGTGCTGGTCAAAGCCAGGCCTGGTGACCTGAGTTCCATCTCTGGGATCCACGGGGTACACAGAGAGAGTTGACTCCCACAAACTGTCTTCTGACCTCGTGTGTGTCCCCTCCCAACACACATACGTGTACATAAACAATAAATAAATAAGCAGATTAATAAATGTACTTTTAAAAAAACTTTTTAAAAAATGCAGAGGCAGGAGGATCCCTATGAGTTTGGGTCTCCAGAATGAGTTGCAGGCCAGCCAGGGCTGGTGAAATCCTATCTTAAAAATAAGAAATAAATAATAAACAAAAGAGAGATGCAGCCTCATTCTGTCTCTATGGCCCCAAAAATGAATTCTACATTCCTGCACCCGTTCTTGGTGGCTGTGGTAATGGGCGGGTTCATGTATTTGACCACTGGTCCTGGGCTTGGAGCACCTTTGTGGGAAGCTGTGGGACTTTTAGGAGGTGAAAGTGTAGTGGAGGAAGCACAGCACTTGGGGTGGGCCGGAGGGCTCATAGTCCCGCCCATTTCCGGTTCATTCTGCTTCCTGTGTGCAGAGGACAGCTATGGATGGGCTCTGAGTTTACAGATCCCCGCTTCATTCCTCCGTTGCTGCTCCTGTCCCAGACTCCACACTGTCAGACTTCAGCTCCACAGTGATGCTCTGAGTACCTGGTTAGTAGTGCAACTAGCGCTCTCCAGTTCAGCTCAGCTCTCACCTCCATTCTGAAGCCTTCTCTGGGACGTAGGACTGGGTAGCATCCATTGATGCCCCTGCCAGCTTCATCCCCTCCTAACTCATCTCCACCAGCTGAGCTAATGCTTGGCCCACAGCAGCCAAAGAGCTACCCAGAAACATTTCTTGAGCTGATATCTTCAAAACTTACTACCAGCCCACAAACGGGGCCTGGCACTTTACAGCCTGCTTATTCTAATTAAAAGAGGCCATCAGGCTAGCTTCAGAGCTTCAGTTAACTCCCTTTTCATGTAGGAAAGCAGCTACCGCCCAAATCTACTGTGCTCAGACTTTGGGGTCCCACATCCAGCTTTGGATTCTGGCTCTGCAATTTCCTGGACACATGATTCTAGAAATGTCCCCAGCTTCTCCTGGGCATGCCTTTTCCTCATTGTAAAACAGAAAAACTCAACACTGATGTTTCAAGCTGTTCATCTGCCTTTCAGATAACAGCTCTACAGTTTACAGGCATCGTTCCATACTTTACGTGACTGCATTGCTTTGCTTTTGCTAAATGTTCCCTGCACCCCACAAAGCCTGCAGACAGTTCACTATGGCATTTCGTATACTGAAACTTCAAATGAGTTTGTCAGTGGCCTTGCGACAGTCCTGGCAGAAATGACACAGGGTCCAGTCTGCCATTGGGAACTTATGTCAGATCCCCAAGTTCACGTGCATGACAGTGACAGAGCCCCCACAGCCCGGCGGCCCGGGTGTCAAGACTGTGGGACTCAGTCGGCTGGGAGAGCAACTGATCCATTCATTTTAATTTGCAGAAATCTGAGCCCCACAGTGCAGAGATGATAACCCCAAGGTTATCTCTCCTATCAAAACACACGAAGCATAATTCTTTAGCTACCAGTTCCCATTTTATCAGTACAGCAAAGGGAGTTTCTAGGGCCTTGTAGATAGGAGTTGGAACCAGCCACGTCCCGGGTCAGTTGGGTCTCACATGTGAGGACTGGTTTTAACATTCCCTGAACTATTAGAGGTTGGCCCCCTCTAAGTTCTCCACAGACACTCTGTCCCGAGAGAGCCATTGGTCTGAGTCACTGACGCGGGTCCAGGCTGGCGAGGCAGCAACAGTAGGGGACCCTCGAACCCACAGCTTCAGCCATAACAAACCCTGGGCTCAGGTTGGGTGGAACATTCTCACCCAGGCACTGACTGGGATTTCTACACATTTCCACAGATCTTGGGCTTGAGACAGGGGCATGGTCCCAGGCAGAATAGTGCAAGTGTGTTTTTTCCTCAAAAGCTCAGGCGCGGAGCCGCTGGCCTGCTGGAAGTGGCTCAGGACTCAGGCCTTGGGAGGCTGAGCAGGACTGAACGGCTGTGGCTGCGAAAGGAGCCTGTGTGACCCCCAGTGTGCCCCTCTGCATTCCTGCCCCACCCTGCTCCGTGTGCTCTTATTAGGTTACCTATCAGCACCGATAACAGTCTGGAAGCTTCCGGAACAAAGGCTTTCCCAACACTGGCAACATTCTGAGGACTTGGGTTTTGCTCACCTGGCAGGGCTTCCTTCTAACGCTTTAGGTTCCGGGATAGACGGGGGAGCTGGGAGTCATGGCCGGAGCTGGGGTCTGGCTCCTGCCCCTCTCAGGTCTGGGTGAACCAAAGAGCCCTCCCCTAATCGCTCCTTGTCTCAGTGGAGTGGGGGGCATTCTTGTTCTCACTGACAGGATTCCTGGAGCATTTCCTCGAAAGAGCACTCCTTAAGCGAGACGCAGGGGTTGAGTCACCGAGGCATTGGGCCTTATGTGTTCAGAAGCAGACTGCGAGCAAAAGCAATTCTGATAGGCCTGACTTAGATGGGCATGACCTTGGCTGAGCCTAGAATTTTCACCAGTTGTCACCGGAAGCAACTGTCTATTGCTTGTGCCTTTGTTTCAACCCTATGTCCAAATTCTGGAAACACACATGCTACGTTTATTCCTTAGCAAGGGGCCTCCAGAGTCTCCAGGCAGCAAGCTGGCCTTGCCTTGGTTTTCCATTTCTCCTCTGGGGACTGAGAAAGACAGGGCCTCTCAAGGAATTAGGCCACAGTGTGGAACTGCTATCCTCAAATGGGAAAGCTACTCTGCCATCTCCTGGCTGCATGCAGACTGCAGCCTCTGAATCTGGTTCTATTCCCCTGGCATCCCCAGACCTCTCCGCAGGTGACAGACATGGAGGTTGGGGCCTGAGGAATAGAAATGCAGGCATAGAAGGTTCAACAAGGGAGGGGTGTGAGAATTTTGGATAAAGAACGAAAGACAACTGAAGTCGTTTATAAGGAAGGCGGGAGGAACTGTACCCAAGTCAATCCAAGGAGCCTTAGTTTCCCCATCTGAAAGCTTGGGATGGGGAACTCTACCCTGTCTACATGCACACACCACGGGGTTGTAAGCAACATCAAATGACCCTGCCCATGACCTTTGCCCCTGCTCTTTTCAGGAGCATGTGCAGACCGTCTCTGTGGTCAGGTGCTACAGGTTCTTCAAAGGCTAGATGGAACACAGACTGTGAAAACCCCACCCGGTCTCCCTGTGCTGGCCACTCCTGGTGCCAGTCTCTCTCGCTCCTACGATTGGAGTGTTGGCAAGTCTGGACTTTTCCTTCCAGGAACCTCCCAAGTCTGTAGACTATTATCTACTTCTGTTCCCCACTCCGGCTCTTAGATTACTTCAAGAAGGACTTGCTGTGTAAACGAGAGCTCAGGGTCAGACTCCATACCACTGCAGTGGGAGAGTAAATAGGAAAGAAAGCACATTACATTCTGGGAGTCATCTGTGAGATGACTGCAGGAAAGCCCCGGAAATGCAGAATGTTCTCTTGCTAAAGTTTATATTGTTTTGTTTATTTTTAATAAATCTTTTGCATGATACAATTTTCATTATCTATATTGCTATATATGGATCTGAAACTCACCCTATCTCCAGAAAGATTTAAGGCTACCAAACAGCAAGGTTTGAGAGCAGGGATTTTTGTGTCTGCAGTTTTTCACTCTCTCCAGAACAGCTGGAACCGAGGCTGTGTCTGGTGGGAATGCAGTAATCATTCATCAGAAGCAGGCATGCATGCATGAATGCATGACTGCCTCGAGTTCCATCTGACCCCCAGCAAGAGACCACACAGGAGTCTGCTCACCCCAGAGAGATGTCGATGACATCTCTCTGGGGTCCGTCAGCTTTTGTATTTGAGGTTCATTCCCAATCCACTATCACAGGCAAGCCCTGCGGGGTGATGTCTGGGCTGTTTCCTTGGGAATTTGGGGTTCCTCACTTGCTGGAAAAACCCAGGCAGAAGTTTTGGCCCAAGTCAAGACTGCCTGAAATTCCCACTACCCCCAAGAATTCAAGCAGTGCCTGTGAACTCAGCAAAGGGCCCATCTGCCTGTTCACATATGGCAGCTACAGTTAGGCTTCCTCCCTCCGTGGGGATGGCCACTGCTTCCTGTGCTGAAGTAAGCTACCGGTGCAGAGACATCTGAACTGCCCAGGCCGGGGTGCCCTAAATGACCCAGAGAGCCCTCTTGATCTCAGTGGAGTGGGGTAGGGATCAGGCACACAGCTGGGCTGTCAACCAGCTTTCTTCTAGAACGTTCCCATTCCCTCTGCCATTATGATCTGATACTAGTCATGTTCTCCAAGTCCTGTGCCTTTCCCATGGGAAAAAGGCCAAAACCCAGGAGCCTTCCTGATCAAAATCAATACACGAGTAAGGTGATAAAAATGAAATCAGTCCCGTTGTGGCTGCTGTGCCTTCTATTGCTGAGCTGAGGGTAGGGGCTCTGTGAGGCTGAGCAATGGGGTGGTGGTTTTAATTTTCTTTTGATGCTTTAAATATTTTCCAAATTTTCTCCGAGAATGCCTATGAGTTAATAAAAGCAAAATGTCTTCCTATGACTTTCCTGGAAGTGAAGACAGGCAGACAGGGGTTTGGCTAGGGGCTGAATAACGGCCCCAGTATGAGGGGCGTCTGTAGGCCAAGACTGAGACACGGTCCCAGGAAAGCATCTGTTCCAGGAGCAGCAGCTCCGGACTTACCGGGTTGGAAGCAGAGGGACCCAGGTGTGCAGCGGGGTTCTTGGCGCGTCCTGAGGTTGGGCTCCTCTAGCGGAGCCCTAGGCTCCTTGTGCGGTGCTGTTTGGTGCGGGCGGAGTCTCGCAGAGCCCAGGGTGGGGGTGGGGGAGCGCTCTGGCCCTGCTCCGCCTACATTCACCAGTTCAGGTCCCCGAGGTCACCCAGCCCACCCTGCACCCAGCACCAAGGGCAGGGAGCACGTTGAATCCGGCGAGTGGGCTCAGGGCTGTCAGACAGTCTGTAGGAGAATCAAGAGGACAGACCCGGCGAACACTGGACAAACACCCCGTTAAAAACAGCGGCAAACATAGTCACCTCAGAGATGGCTCAGAACCTCTCCAGATTCCTTTCGCTTAATATCCTTCTGGGTCTCTGTGGCCTTGCAGCTACTCAGAGAATCTATATTGAGTATCTACTTACCGGGTGCTTGGTCCTGGGTGGAGGGTGCAGAGGTGCCCAGATAGTTGGGGGCTCTGCTGTAGGCAGTTGTTGGAGGCACCCCAGCCCTGGCACCACCTCCAAACTTCTTAGGCCGGTGTGTACCGCCTTTTTCTCCCAGCGGGAGCAAGCCCTAGAATGACTCGGAGAACTTCCCAGTCTGTTTCTTAGTGTTACCCACCATCTGGGCAGGTGCCAGTCAGCGGAAGGCTGCCTGGTGAAAGGGTCTGGCCGATGCCATAGCAGCGCAGGCTTTGGACCTGCAGCTGAACGGTAGCCACAGTCAAGGGTCTTCCTCATCTGGTCACTTCTAAGTGTGTTCCTGGGAATCTTCTGCAGGTGGAGGCACTCCTGCGGCTCTGCCTGCCACACTCCAGGGCAAGACTGTTGACAGAGGCAGCTGTGGAGCTGTGCTCATGTGGGTGGCGGACTCCACAGTTAGCCACCTTGTAAAGCACTAGAATGCCTCTGGCTTCTGACATGTAATTTTATTCTGAGAAATCTAGATCCAGGGAGAGGATCTGAGTTTAGAGAAGTCTTAAAAACACAAAGGCTCTTTACAGGTTATTTACAATAATTAAAATCTCGGTATCTAAAACCAGAAAAATAATTAAATCACGGCATATATGATACAAGAGAAATATCTTATGAAGTTACTAGCGGGTTGTAATGTGGTGTCTGCCTGTTTGCCAGCTGGCTGAGACAGTCTCACGGTGTATTCCCAGCTGTCCTGACACACTGTATGTCGATCAGCCTGGCCTCAAAGTTACCTATCCACCTGCCAAGTGCTAAGGTTAGAGTCATGCAGCGCCACACCTGACTCAACACAAAAGTAGCTTTATGCTATAGTGTTACATGCAAAACACAGGCCCTAGGCTTTACACAGAGAGCAAAGCATTATTTCCAAAGGACGTAAGGAAAACCACCACATGACGTCAGTCTCCACTCCATTGTCACCGTCTGATGTCAGTATGGTCTGCTGTGGGAATACCCAGGGGGGATCTGACTCGTTCTGCTTTCTATATTCAACATCTGTACATGCTCCAGAGAGGGGAACCCGTCAGCTTGGTCTAAAAGCTCCTGATCTTTCTCCGCAGTGCCTTGAGCATGAGCATCTGTCTGCCCACCTCTCCAAAGCCAGAGTCCAGCGGGCAGGGAAATGGGTGAAGGCTGGAGCAGCATGTTTATCCTACCAAGCGAGTACGTGCGGTCCTTTCATACACAATCCAGACCCAACCAGCTGCCTGGATCACTATCTCGCTCATCAGGGCGTGGGACGATGCCTCCCATTTGTCCCTGGGCATTGTCAATGGGAGGGAACGTTTCCAGAGTGCACGTGGCAGTGTCTTCAGCTCTCTTCCGGGTTCTCTCCACTTTATTATTACATCGCTGCCCTTGCGGGTCTCTGTTTGTCGCTGTGAGGCAAGCTCTGCCCTTGAGGAACCTGAACCAGCTTCCCCATCTATTCCTCTGCTCCCTTTGCTTTCAGCCTCCCCTCTTCTTGTCTTAGGCATGATGGATATGTAATCCACCTTCCTCCTCCTCTTATCTTGGTTTCTTTACTAACTAAAGTCATGACAGTTGTAGCCCCTGTCCTCAGTAGGTCTACATTCATCTTTCATGGGGCCCAGCTTTGATGAATGTGACATCCACAAACCAACCACTTCCCATCATCCTATCTTAGGAATTCCTCAAATCTGGACATTCTGCTTTCTCGTGACCCTGCTCCTTCTCTGATGCCAAGTCACCCAGGCTCAGTATAAGCACACGGTACTTGGCCTAGGGCTGCTGTTTAGCTGGGGTTCTTCCTGCATCAAGGGGGTTGAGGCAGTGATTCCTGGCCCTTTGGCTTCCCCATTGTTGTTCAGGTCAGTTAGCTTTGCGTTAACTTAACAATCACCTTATAAGGGCAAAGGTTCACTTTGGCTCTGATGTTAAGAGTTTTCTCTTCACTCTTTGTTGGATGTATTGCTTTGGCCTGTAGTGAGACAATGTGTCATGGTGGGAACACAGGCAGAGCAAAACCAGTACCTCTCAGCTAGGAAACAAAGACAGGGAGGGGGCTAGAGTGACCCTGCTCCTTGCAGGTATTCTCCAAATATCTTAAAGGCATCCCACGAGGCTCCACCTTTTTTTTTTTTTTTTAAACCTCGTGTTAAGCCAGGCGGTGGTGGGGCACACATTGAATCCCAGCACTCGGGAGGCAGAGGCATATGGATATCTGTGAATTTGAGGCCAGCCTGGCCTACAGAGCTAGTCCCAGGACAGGTTCCAAAACTACAGAGAAACCCTGTCTCAAAAAACCGAAAACAAAACAAAAACAGAAAACCTCATGTCAATAGCACCAAGCTGAAGATCAAGCCTTTAATGCACAAGACTTTGGGGAACATTTAAGACCCAAACTGTAAGGTTGGGGATGGCTCCGTGAGTAAATTGCTTGCTTTGTATGCGTGAGGACCTGTGTCCCCCTCCCCCCAGAATTCAAGCTTTAAAAAAGTATGTGGGGTGTGTGTGTATGTGCGTGTGTGCGTGTGTGTGTGTGTGCCCTTGTAATCGTGGGGATGGGGAGGCAGAGACAGGAGG